GAGAGAGAGAGAGAGAGAGAGAGAGAGAGAGAGAGAGAGAGAGAGAGAGAGATCTGTGTGAGATCAGTGTGAAATGACCTGCTTCATATAGGATGAGGAAATTAGCTTTCAGCAACAGGGAATTTGGATACTATAGTATCAGAAGAAGGAAATACAGACACTTCTTGGCTTATGAAGGAGTTTTGTTCCTGAGAAACAGAAATTCATCTTTATGTCAATCAAATCACATATAGTCCATCCTCCACATTCAGGGGGTTAGGGGCACAGGACCCCTGAGAAAGTGGAAAAACTGACAGTATCTTTAGGCCCCTTCTGCCCAAGCTCACTAGCACCTCTGTGCAGCAAGGAAATGCCGGGCAGTTTTCCCTTTCCTGATGGGTGAGGCAGGAAGACATATTTGGAAGCCTCCTTCTCTACCCTTTTGTTTCCTCTGCAGATTCTTTGGAGGCCTTTCCTCTCTGTTTTTTTCAGTTCTATCAGGAGATTCTGTGTATTGAATTTCATCTTGCTGCATGTAAAGCACCCCTGAACTACAGCATTGCCTACTTCTAAGGCAGAATGGGTGGGTTTGCATGATTGCTCTGCGTGCCATTTCAGGTCAGCAGGGAAGTGAGCTTCAGCCAGCTCCCTCTCCTTTCCTGTTGATGGGAACAGAGCAGCAGAGAATAGGAGTGAGTTTCTGCCACTTGTCCGTTGCTTGCTTCTCTTCTACCCAGGCTCTGCCTGCTGTTATAGGCTGGTAGGGAAGAAGCTGCTTCAGCCCACTGGACACATTGAGGAGCTGTCATCAAATCCCTTGGCAAGACTGATAAACCTTTCTGCTATTTCTGCCAAGTACCTCTGTATGTTTTTGTGTTTCTCCTAGCCCTGTTGTGTTGTCTAGGCTTGAACAGCATGGCAAGGGCAGAGATGGTTATAAAACCCTACAAATACCAGTAAAATGATTACACTAGAATGTATATTTCACATAAAATAAATCACTTGTGATTTCTGTACCATATAAACTATATTTGCTAGAGACACAGATCAAAAGGGGTTTGTTTGTGTATTTGTTTGTTTTTAATCTAGAGTTCATGCTTGTACTGTCAACAACATTTGTTCTGGTTCCATTCATTGACTTAGTTTCCAGATGTGTAAGACTTCATACAATATCTTTTAACTGAAGGAAATGTTAGACTTTTTAATGTTTTTTGTTTTATAACATTGTCAAGGAGCTTGTTGCTGTTAAACTGTAGGATACTCATTGCTTATGCAATAGCATATCGGTGAGCCACAAACTGACCTTTACATTTGATGTGTTAAAGACATTTGGGTCAGTTCATCCACAAATCCCTTGGAACGGAAAATTAACAAGGGCACTAGTAATTCTGCATTGAACGTCTTTTTTCTTGGTTAATTTTTGTTTGTGACCCCATAAAGACTGACAGGATTACCCAGCTCCATACGTTTCAGTGTAGAAACGAATTTTCCAATGGAAGAATGTACAGTTACTGCATCCCTGTATCACAAATTTATTAATTGAATGGCTTTGTAGTAGTATTACAATTGTAACAAAGAATCTGGAAGTAGGGAACATATGAGAGCTTTCATTCTAAAGGTTGAAAGATTTCTGATGCTGATCATACCTATTCCAAAAATATACTAAAATATAGATTGGGTCTTTTACTATATCTTTTCATCTGCCAAATAGCAACAGCATCCATATACTTTTTTTTTCCAGAGCCCCCTATGGCAAATCTGTAGATATGTGGTCGGTAGGTTGTATACTTGGAGAACTTAGTGATGGACAGCCATTGTTTCCAGGAGAAAGTGAAATTGACCAACTTTTTACCATTCAGAAGGTGCTAGGACCACTTCCAGCCGAGCAAATGAAGCTTTTCTACAGCAATCCTCGTTTCCATGGGCTACGGGTAATGTCTAGCTTAAGTGTTCCATTTATATTTTTAAGTGGTACAGTGATTGTTCAAAACAGTGTTTATCAAAACAATCTCCCAATCTGATGCTGCTTTTGTAATTAGATAGATATATATATAAATATGTATTTCATTTCTATTTTCTACAAGTATTGCAGTGTTCAGTGAGGATTCATGAGGAAAACACCCTATATTGTAAGACTAGGTGAAAATTGCTTGTTTAGTGGTCTGTCTCCAGCTCCTACAAGAGCATCAAAAGTTGCAAGTTGAAACATTTGGCATTGTACATGCTGTATAGCAATTACTGTTTAACAGAACTAATTTGCACATTATTTTACATTAAATAGGATTAAAATCAATATTGGGAAAGTATTGATTGTGCTTTTGTGTGTTTATAGATGAGATTAGCTCTGAGAAATGTTAGTACTGTGCCTTAAACAATGTTGAAGACTGTTATTTAGATAATAAGTATTCTAGAAAATAAGGTACAGAGCAGGTACCATTGGCAGGAGATTTGTACATGTTTCCACCCAAAGACTTGTATTACTAGCTGGATAGCAGAACTAAGCCCTGTTTCATCATCATTTGGAGTAACTATTCTTATGGAAATAGTATACAATGTGCATGATATCTATTTGAACCATCTTTCCTGTGTCATAAGCCTTCATTTTTAAACATTTTTTTCTTGAATAGTCAGAGATGCTATTTGTTAAGAAAATCTTTGAAAATGTTCTAAGACATACTATGTATTTTAAATATTAAACAGTATGTAGTAATGGGCAACTTGTAGAATTAATTGGAGTTAGAATCTAGCTTGCAACAGTTTTCTGACATTTAAATGAAGGGTGCAGTAGGAAAAGAGAATAAGTGCTTCATGCTTTGATCTTTACTGTAATCCTACTGTTACAGATATATGATCATCCCCTTTCTATTATGCTTTGTATGGTCAGCTCTCCTCCAGCTTTCAGCATTTTTTAATCAATGGAGACAAACAGCCTGGATTGTTACACACTATGTTAGAAAATTATACAGTTAAAGAACCTATACTAGGAAAACACGATTCACACTATTAAATTCATACACAGCTATGTAACTTGCCTTAGATCTGGTAGCTTGCAAAAGGATGTTATGTGCCCAAGACACCTTCACAAGCAAATGAGGAGTCAGAAAACTCTGGATAAAATTGTAGAGAGGACCTTCTCTTGCACCATTACACTCTGCTCAGATAGATTTGTCCAATCCTGGAGAGGAGCAGGGGGCAGGTGGAGAACTTGCCAATTTCAAGACTACCTAGTGAAGATTCACAGGCAGAGTATGAGAACCAGCCCACCTTGGAAAGGGAGGGAGACTTTTCAGAACTGGAGTGGCTGGGGATGCAGGAGTGGTACCCAGTCAGGCAAGAACCGGTGACTTGGCAGCCCTGTTACAAAGTGTCTGGCATACCAGGGAGGGCCACCCTCAGAGTGGATCCAGAAATTTTGCTGAAAAGTAGGGAAGGAGAAGTTTCAATTTGGATTCAGCTCTTTGCATAGGTAGATGCCTCTTCCACGTCTCTCAGGGAATGTTAGCAGTTAAGTTTTAATAAAGTAACTGCTCTTCTGAGCCTTTATTTTGAGTCTGATGAACAAGGGAAGTGAGCTACTCATGACAGAAACTCTAGACTGGCCTAAAATAGGTCTATGTGTGAGTGCTTACTATTGACACATCACAGTTGTTTTTGCTGCTCTTGTGGGAGGTGGGAATCTAAGCAAGATTGCTAACTAGATGAATATTTAAATAATTCCCACACTGCATTGTTATAGTCTGGGTGGAGTTGGCTCTTACTTTGTGGATTCCAGTCCTCCCATTGTAAAGGTTGCAAAGTAAAAGAGAATCTGATGAAACATCTTGCCCTAGAATTGCCACAATGCCACTAAGCAGTGCAGGAATATTTCACACAGGCCTCTTTACAGGAGATGGGAATGGCATCAGCCTTTGCATTTAATGTGGAATATGGTCTGATTGCTAACCAGATGGTAAAGCAAATGGGCTTACTTTTAGTTTTGTCAGACACTTTGCTGTACTCATATCTGTGCCAACTTTGGTGGCATTGCTTTGACAGCTTCAGAGGTAGACAGGGCTAGCAGATAATCTAGTCATGATATAGATATCTTTTGTCTTATGTAATCTGAGCTTTGGACAAACTGTTTGGAGGATTGAGGTATACTACTTTCTCTTTAGTTCCTTATCCATCTGACTTATGCAGTCTGTTAGAACTGGGTTGAGTACCTGGATCTCCAAGGTGGTAAATGCTTCCTTGATGGATGGCGAGGTCCACACAATTTTGACAGAAACAGTGGTGAAGCTTTTATTAGAGAAACCAAATCTGCATCCTGTAGTTTTGGATAACTACCACCAGAGCTGCCATTCTTGGAGAAGGTGCTGGAGTGTATGGTAACTTCACATTTCCAAATAGAATTGGATGATACAGTTTATTTAGAACCATTCCAATCAAACCAGCCATTCCAGTTGGACCAGGTTATGTGACAAAAACACAATTTGTCATCCTGATTGATAATTTAGGCTGGAGAATGGACAGTGGGAATATAATCATGTTTGTTTGTTTGTTTGTTTGTTTATTAAAACATTTTTATGCCGCCCCATTCGCCGAAGCCTCGGGGCAGCTTACAACAAATGTTGGCATCTCTGAACCTCTCACATTGTGGCCATCAGTACCATCAACCATTGTTTCCTTCTAGATCATTCAGCTGCATTGGTCTTGGAAGGCATGATTTTAAGGTGGATCTTGCCCATAGTGGAGGAGCAGTCTCAGAAGGTGGTGCTACAGGACTTTAATTCCACTTCATGGCAGTTAGCATGAGCTACAAGGTTTCATTTTGTGCTCATGCTTTTTAACAAATACACAAAACCATGGGGGTTTAATCAGAAGAGCTCAGCTGAAGTGTCTCTCATATTTATCTATACAAACCAGGGAGGTTATTGAACTTGTGAACTAGTGTCTCGGAACTGTTTTGGGATGAATGGGGTAAATAAGCTGAAAGGTTATCCAAAGGTATGGATGATGGAGGTACTTTCAGTTGGGAAACCAAATATTCTGAATGGAAATTTCTCTGGTTTTAGATGGGCTGCCAAAAGACCCAGTGCATAGTTGAGACTCCTTCTGGACTCTGCACTAAATGAGGAAGCCCAGATGGCTGTGGCATCATTAATGCATTTTATCAGTTGAGACTGGGATGCCAGCTGTGGCCCTATCTGGGGAGGATGGCCCTTGCCTCCGTTATCTGTGCACAAGTGACATCCTAGTCTGGACTGCTATAATGTGCTGTACAGTGGGTCTGCTTCTGACAACAGTTCAGAAATTTCAGCTGGTGCAGAATATGGCCACCAGAGGGTTGATGGGGGTGAGATGATTTGCTCATATAACATTCGTACTGTACTAGCTGCACTGGTTACTGACATGGCTATAAGCCCAATTTAAAGGGACAGTTTTTGCCTTTAAAACTTTACACAATTTAGGACCAAATTTCTTGAAAGACTCCCTTCAGACTATCCACCTGTCCATACTCTAGGATTAGCCTGAAGGATTATCGGTTGTCCGCTTGTAAGAGCAGTTGGGCATTGGCTACATATGAGAGGTCGTCTCTGCAGTTGTCCCCAAACCTCTATAATAAATTACCATTGGGAGTCTACCATGTTCTATCATTTCAGGCTTTTAAGAACTTGAAAACATGCTACAATATACTGTGGCTTCTCTTGATATGATTGCTGTTACTGTTTCTGTTTTTATTGTTGGTTTTGTTATTTAAAACTTTTAAAATGGTTTTTATAGCTGCTTTTATTATGTTCTTACTGTTTTATTATAACTTTTAATCACTTGCCTTGGTTTTATATGTTTTAATGTTGTACTCTGCCCTGGGAAGGCTTCAGCCCTGAAAGGTGGCCCAGGAATATTTTCAATAATATGAATGATAAGTGTACAGGATCATTCAGCAATGCTGTATTGAATAATGCCAGCAGGGTACTGTGATATATACAAGTTTCCTTTCAGTGTTATCCATATTCATTGAAACATATGTGTAAAACCTATATTTTGAAACTAATGCTAATTTCATTTGTCTAATGCTGTAAATATTACTAGTCTTTCAAGGACATGTATGGAATTCTGTATGTTTAGAAGAGTGACTAGATATGACATGAGAGCTCAGTGATGTGGATCACTCAATTTTTTTCCCTTCAAGTTAATACATTGGGAGGGATTTATTTCAGCCCACAGTAATCATCTCGAAATCCCATCTGCCCAGCTGTATTGTTACATGAGGGAAGCATTATAATACCTTTATGTTACCCCAAATTAGTAGGCTCCTCTGGGAGTTTAACTGGGGAAAATGGTATAGGTTAGCCCCTGCTCCTCTATAAAGAGCAAGTTTATACTCTTTTCGACGCCAGGTGAAAACCTTTTTATTTAATCAGTATTTTAAAAACTATTAATGTAACAGTCACATTTTATTTCTTTTACCTCTTGGATTGTTTTAATGTATTGATTGTGAGCTGTCCCAAGATGCCTTGCATGGAGGACAGCATACACAAGTTTTAAATAAAATAAATAATAAATAATTGCTTATATTTTGAAGACACATTGGCAGTTGTCATATCTAGCTGAGCTGTGGTCAAGTTATTATGTGCATATGTGTGTTTAGTTCATGAGATCAGCTAGTTGTTTAGTTGTCTTCATTGGTTATGGGTATCCTGTACAAACAATACTTTGACATCTTTTGTAAAAGCTGCAGTTGTGAATGTATATTCTATATAAATTATTTTTATACAGTTCCCTGCGGTCAACCATCCACAATCTTTGGAAAGGAGATACTTAGGAATCTTAACTGGTGTTTTACTTGACCTTATGAAGGTAGGGAAGTTATTGTTCTATGTATTATAGTTTCCATTTCCAACTGCACCCTGTAATTTTAACCCAAGTAAATCTGTGTATCTTATTTCTTAAGATCAGATAATATATCTGCTTCAGACTTTAAAGGTGGTACCAGAGATCTTTCAGGGAAAGTGTGTCGGTTGCTGTGTATTGTTCTAGTTTTTAGAAAACATTCCATTTCTTTAACTTTGTTTTGCCCATATTCTCTAAAAGAATAATTTTACAGATTTACAACAATGTAGAGCTATAAAGGAAACTTTATTTTTAATTCTTATTAATTGGAGTCCTTTGTTAATACGTTGTTAATAGTGGTAATGAATGTGCTGTAATCTTATTCTTTTTACTAAGTGTATTTTCCAGCTTATTAAAACATAGAAATAAACAGAAGTGCCAACATGTTTGTGAAACTTACTATTCAGTGAAATCTTGGAGCCTGATTACTGCTCTCTGCTACAAGCCAGATACTTGTGCTAGGTGCAACCAGTAATTACTGGACCACTGGCTGTCTGAATAGAAATATAGGCATATAGCTTTATCTTTTGGTAGTGGGCTTGTTTTAAAAGCATGCTTAGAGAAGACATTTTGAATACAACATTGATATTTTAAAAAACCTCGATAAATAGTTTTAACTTGTTTTCAGTTGCATATGATATTTGGTAAATATCAAATTGTAAATATTAATTGGACAAATACTTCTGCTTTTTAAATGGTATACAAGTCGACTTTGCTTCTCTAACTTGAATTTCTGTTCAAAAGAACTTGCTGAAACTGGATCCAGCTGACAGGTATCTAACAGAACAGTGTTTGAACCACCCCTCATTTCAAACTCAAAGGCTCTTAGATCGTTCACCTTCACGGTCAACTAAAAGAAAACCTTACCATGGAGAAAGCAACACCTTGTCCAACAGGTAAATGACTGTAAGTAATTAAATCTGTGTCCTTGCTTTTTATGTACTTCAGCCTTTTAAGAAGGCTGAGGAAGAGGAGCACAGTGACACCATTGTCAAACAATAATTATTTCTTTATCTTCAGTAGGCTTGCTAATAATGGAGTTTGTTCTCACACTAGTCTGCATTTCAAATTATAAGACTCTGCCTTGTCTCAGGGAAGCCACTCTACCATTTAGTGCAGTTCTCAGTGGAATCTGACATTCATTGGTGAAGAATACCATTTCAACAGTGTTGAGGGCAGTTGTGCCCTGTCCTCAAAATGAGCTTAGATAGTTCGGTGTATCTCTACAGCCCTTTCCTCAATACAGTTCTCTAAAGGTCTGGATTACTGGAATCATGCTGTGGAGTAAAGCACTGTGTTTTTATGCCAAGTGATTTCTATTTGTATTTTGAGTCCACTGTTCTGGCACTTGGTATTTCTAGACAATACATTGTCAATCAAAAGACTTTGTGCGCCTGTTTCATCATTTCCTTCTTAAAGAATTTTTTGCAGAAATAAAAAAAACCCCAGAGGAGGAGTGGACTATCAGTGGGAGGGCTATGAGTAGAAGGCAGAAGATGCACTAGCACTCTAACTGGTCATGACAGGTCCCCTGCATGATGAAAGCTTTGCAGGGGACCTCCTAGAGTGAACAAAATACGTTTTTTTATCATGTTGTTTTCTTGTTGTGGTTGTCCATTTTGATTTTGTCATGTTGTACCTTGAATAACTTTGCGAGTTCTCTTATTATGAGATTATGGAACAGTTTAGATGTTTCAGTGCCTACAAGTTCCAGTTATTCTGTGAATGCTTACTTGCCATTGCTACAGTGTAACAGATCTAAATACCAATTTTACTGGAGTGATTGGTATATAAAGTTAGAAATTAACATGTGCTTTCTTTGTGTATTTATAATGTAGAACTCAAGCTAGCAAAAGTACTGCTGTGCAGTCTCACCACAGATCAAACAGCAAAGATATACAGAATGTGGGAGTTGGATTGCAAAGAGAAGAGGCTGTTCCAACAAATGAAAGCTTTCTAAATGGAAACCTTCCTGTAACTGCACATAGCCCTATGCTTTCCAAAAAAGCAAGTAATCCGCCTGGATCTGGAAGCAAGGATCTAGCTAATAATAACATACCACATCTTCTAAGTCCAAAGGAAGGAAAGACAAAAACTGAATTTGATTTTAATATGGATCCCAAGGCTTCAGATGGTCCAGGTACAAAATACCTGAAGTCAAATTCCAGATCTCAGCATAATCGCCACTCGTTTATAGAGAGTTCTCAGAGCAAAACTGGTACACTGCAACCGGGAGAGAGGCATAGCCGTCACAGTTATATTGATACTATTCCTCAGTCTTCGAAGAGCCCCTCTTATCGAGCAAAGTCAAAAAGTCATGGGGCTCTGACTGATTCCAAATCTGTAAATAATCTGTCTGAGGCCAGAGTTCAAGTTGCAGACCCCAGCAACAGTAGGTATTTTCCATCCAGCTGCTTGGACTTGAACTCTCCTACCACACCAACACCTCCTCGCCATGCTGACAACAGAACTTTGCTCAGTCCTTCTGGAAGAAATAACAGAAGTGATGGTACTCTTGAATCCCGAAGACCATCTACAAGACATTCCAAAACCATGGAGGAATTGAAATTGCCAGATCACATGGATGGAAGCCATTCACATTCTTTATCTGCACCTCATGAATCTTTTTCGTATGGTCTGGGTTACACAAGTCCCTTTTCTTCACAGCAGCGCCCTCATAGACATTCTATGTATGTGAGCCGGGACAGAGTGAGGACAAAGGGCTCAGAGGGTGGCTTAAGCGTAGGGCAAGGGATGGCAGCCAGAGCAAACAGCCTGCAACTGTTATCTCCACAGGTGCAGCATAAGTCGCTCACAAGATCTGTTGGTTCTTCACGTGAAGACTGTACAGAAGATACCAATAGGGTCAGTTTGAATTGTCAGCTGTTAGAATGACTCTCTTATTTGGTCTGTCTGCCTGAAGAGTGCCTAACCAAATAGCCTTTACATGTTGTCTAACAAAATCTGAATATCTAAAACTGTTCTTTTCCCTGGCCCCAGAAAGCCAATTATTATATATATATCAAAAGCATCTGTTATATAAAATAAGTGATGCTAGTGCATGTTCATGTGTGAATTTTGAAATTGGCTTCATTGGGCTACAAGTTATGTTACCCTAAAGCTATCATTTTTGTCTTGATAATGTTCTTATCCGAGGACAGTTGTCTTTCTGGAATGGTTTTTGAATAGCAGTGTCATTTTGTTCTTGGTGTAAGGGAGGACAAATTTGATGTGGAAGAAATTCAAAGCTATTTTCTATCTATTTGTTCCACTGCTTTTCTAATTTTGAAAAGCAAGACCTAGCACATACTTTACCACTTGAGTTAATATAAGAAAGTGAAGAATTGCACTCAAAATTACTGCAGAACTATTTATTGTCAAAGAAGGCTTGGACAATTTTTTGGCCCTCAGAATCCATCATCTGTATAATACAGCCAGCCTGGTTCCGTTTTGCTTTTTGTTCTTATTCAAATAATAAAAATAAGAGGATTTTCAAGCGCATTGTGATCTCCTTTCAGTTTTGGAGGCTATAAGTTATGCATGCTTTCTCTGCTTGTCCATACTCTTTGTGACTTACACAGAAAAAAGAACCAACTATTTGATTTCTTTGACTAGTTCTGAATTAGCCAAACCTCTGGCTGTCATGAAAGGGCTTCAAGATCATAGTATTGCTTCTTCCCATGCATTCTCACACATTGGTCACCGTTGTTAAGAGATAAGTGCAGTGATTATTTAATTCCTCCACCTGATAATTGAAAAGTTAAATTCTGTCTCAGGTTTCTACGTGACAGAATGCTGCCTCAGTACATCCAGAAAACTAGGATGTCATGGAGAATACTAGGCTACAATTAGTATAATTTAGAATAGGAGAAGACCACTTATGCTTGGAAAATGAAAAGTACTTTCTGAAAAATTAAATTAAGCAAATACTTTTATGGAATGTGGCAGTATATAGCTAATGGCAGGATATGGCAATGTATATCTATTGGCTTAGATTACTTTAAAAGAGCATCAGATACATTCACGCAGCTTCCCAGAAATATCAGTCTATCAGCTATTGAACATGGTTGCTTCACTAGCTGGATCCTTGGTCTGATTTAGATGTAGAAACTGATTTTATGTAGACACTGGAAACTATCAACATTATTTGCCTTTGCAGCCAAATTTTGTAGTAGTTGCAGTAATTTGTTCTATACTTTAAAAAAAAAGGAAGCAACAGAGAGGGACCATTAGTACTACATGGTTTCTTAGAAGCAGTAGCACCTCTAATAAAAAGGGTTGAGAGGCAAGGAAGCAGAAATAGAAGGAAACAGAAGGAAGGAAATCATTTGGGTCTTAATATGAAATAAGCAATTGTTCTTTTGTGTTTTAGGGGAAACTCCCCACTTATAAAATATGATAGTATTTTTTCTGTTAGGACACAGTTTCACATTAATATGTAGTTCATGGTATAAATGGATGGTATTTCAGGTGAGGGAATTTGGGGATATTTGATTTGGTTAAGCCTTGATTGATTGATGGATGGATTGATTGATTGCTTTTATATACCATCCAACTACTAGCATGATGTGTTAGAATGCATTGGATTCCAACTACGTATATAAAGTCATTCAAAGGAGTGCCCTGTAGGCTAAGATTTCTTAGGTTGCTTAATAAGATTCACATTTTTCTACTTCTAGGCCCTCTCTGCTCAAAGCTACTTACCAAAGTTTTGAGCATCATTACAAGTGTTGTTCTAAAGCAACAACTAAGCAACACTAAAGCAACACCATTTGGGCCAGCTTGTGGAACTGACATTTGGTAGTTAGAGCCAATGAAGGAGAGTTGATATTCTAGCACTACTTTACTGCATTTCAGAGCATGTATTTATGTGTGATTGGGCCTCTAGGATAGAACGAATTAGAAATTAGAAATAATTATGTTTTTCTTCTAGTTGTTATCTCTAGATTGTCCAGAGTTGAACAGAATGGAATCTTATAGGAACTCTAAGGAAATCATAGTTCTCTCTTTAATTCATGAAAAACTAAATATTTTTTAGTTTTAAGATGCTTAGTTTAGATAAATGACTGTCTGGATAACTTCTTAATGTTATGGCTTTGGAACAAATACTGTAAACACAAAATTATGTGCAGTTGAGTTTCATTTTAACAAATAATATAAATAGAGTGAGTTTATGTACTCTCTGTGAATGCCTTGCCCTATTACATAGCATTGGAAGACAGAGCAAGCCTTTTAGCGTAATTAATTGATTTTTTTTCTTTTAATTTAGGGTGGAACTTATCATGATCAGCATCCAGATGATGGAGTATCCACAAAAGAAAATAGGCTTCTGTATAATGATCCTGTACCTAGGAGAGTTGGTAGCTTTTACAGAGGTATTTTTATCTTATAGATCAAAATGTCTACCATTATCTTAATACAAATGACTACAATTTAGCTGGAGAATTTATCTCTTTCTCTAGGCAGAAGAATCTAAGAAAACTGGAAGGAATCTTCTGTCTTTGGAATATTAGACAAGACATAAAGATGACTGGCAATACTTCCATTTTGGAAGCTCTTCTTACCCCCGTTTTGAAACTTTTACTTTTGCTTGTGAGGTGTGGCAGCATCATTAGGCTTGCATATTTGTGTTGCTTTTCTCCCTGTTCCTTGACTTTGTGTTACTTCATTTGGAGAACATAGTAGACTAGAAACAGTAGAGCAAAGTTTTAACGTTTCTGCCTATATTCAGACATACCAACAAACCATGTTCTATTATGAATGAAACCAAGGATCAAGTTCAGTCAGTGGGGTTTTAAATGCATAAATTTGGGCAGGATCCAACTGTGTTCCATGTTAACCCTAATGATGATGTGCTAGTTTAAACAGGTGCTTGCAGTGTAACTTCATTAGGAGAATGAAAAAACTCCACCCATGAGGTTAAAAACTATGATATATAATGGGGTTCCTTATGGTAGGGATCCTCTACCTTAGCATATATCTTTTTAATCTGATTCTGTTTGTGAAGCCCAATTCTTTGTTGATGGGTAGTACTGACAATGGCCATTAATGGTCAAAATTAATTTGATCAATCAAACTCTTTATGTCTCATTCAGACATAATGATAGACTAAAATTTTACCTTATTACGAGAATCAGCCTAGATAAGTTTGGGGTGATGTGCCCCTTCCTTTCTTTTTTCCAGTGTTGACATAAGGAAGACTTGGAGGTGTTCCTTCAGTTTTCAATTAACCTCAGTTTACTAGTGCAGTCCAATCAGTTGTTCAAGTTTGTGTAATCATATTAATACTAACATTTAGTCCTACCTGTATCCTTCAAGGTTTCTTCCATCATATTCTTTCTTTTTTATTTTCTTAACATATACAGATACATAGAAGAAAAAATAATATAGACAGAACAAACTAAAATAAAGTGAACAAAGTTGCCAAGGGAATTTTAAACAAATCTTCTCTCATCATATTCAATTTTTTTTAATATGTGCTTTTATGATGTGGAAAAAAATCAATTAAAATAATAACAAATCAAAATACAGCTTCTTTCTCTGTTATGTGTGTCATTGTACTAGTGCTTTCTTATTGTTAAGAAAATGACATTAAATGCTGAATGTACAGGGTGTAGAACTTGAATGAAGCTTGACGATATCTTATTTTTTTCAAAAACCTCATGTCTACCCATAAAGGTAACTAGGGTATCTTGGACTTATTAATAATTATCTAGATTTAGTTCTCTTTGAGCATAAAGAACTAAATCTACAGAAAACCTGGAGTCTCCTGCTGAAGGTAAAATGGTGCTATAAAGGATTAGTTATCCAAATTAATCTGTTTGCTAGTGTAATGTATGGGTGGTGGTGGGGAGTTCATAAACTTCTGGAAAAGTTCAGTTTGCCATTTGTGACAGCATAGTAATATATGACATCAACATTTAGCCAAGAAATCTCCAGTGCTTTGGATCCAGTTTCTCTGTTGTATGGTCTTCAGTATACAGATGGATTATTTTGTCCAACTGATCAATAAGCTTACTAGGAATAAAGTAAATTGGACTTAGATGCATAGTATCATACATAGGCCAGAGTGCGATTGTGATCTCTGCAGGATTACTTTTGTCACCATCTCTGGATCCTTGCTTCTGTTATGATCACATTGATCAACTCCTTTATTTCTCCAGTATGGTTATTACTTGGAGAGTAGTTTCTTATGATTTGGACTCAATGCATCTCACCAGTGGACTCAATGCATCTGTAGCTGTAGCTGCTCTAAGAGTTGTGGTGTTGAGTGTACTCTTCTTTAACTGCTAGCTTTTCATTTGTTTCTTCCTGGTACTTTTCCATTTTTGTGGACACTTGCTGAATATCCTTAATTATGGGTTCAAGAAGTATCTAACATGGCAAAACCCTAAAATAGGAAGCTTAGCTCTGTCTGTGAGGACAAAATGTTAATGAGGCTCCTAAAACTTGCATATATATGGTATGTTTGAATTAGCTTAAGAATTAGCTTAAGAAGTGATGCTCATGTACTTTTGTAAGTTCTCAGCTGACTTGTATTTCAATACTTATCTTTCCTTCTTTCTCCTTGTCTTCCTAGTGACTTAACCTTTCTTCTTTTTATCTCTTTTGCTATAAGTTTCTTGAAGCCTCTTTTATTTAACTTGTATATTTGTAAAAAGGTAAAAGTGATAAAAATTACCAACTTCAAAAGATACAGTGTTTATTCCATGGATCCGTAATATCTGCAGACGGTCTACCCCTGAGCCATATTGTGATTGTATCATTAAATAGAAATTGATTGTACATACCTGTACAGCCATTGTACTTAACTATTCCTCCATATTTTGCTAACTTTGTTTTATAGGTGGAATGCTACTTTCAGAAGTAAAATTATTGTGACTGTTTTTCACCAAAATCTGGTTCTGTTGCCTTAAGAAATTTCATCTGCAATCCTATACACACAGGGAAATAAATTTCATTGAACCTTTTAAAGTGAATGTGTGTAAGAGTGCAGTGTTAGATTTGTCATACAGCTTGAGAGCTCTAGCCGTCAAAATTGCCTTAAGACGATACCTAAGAATTATACTGGAGAAACCTCAAAAGTACTCATAATTTTTAGAATATTTCTAGGTCAGTTAAGGGAGCATTCCTGTGATGTCTAGACATTGTTTGAGGAGCCAAAGACAGCTTGAATTTCCAGGTCTGAGGAATTTGAATTTCTAGCTGGAGCTCCCAGCTGGCCCAGAGAGAAACACGTTGGCTACTCTCCAAGACTGGGAAAGCAACCTCAGAGAGGGGTTAAGGTGGAGGCCTGGCAGGCCAGCATGTGAGCTGTCTTAAAGTTGCCCCATCTTCCTGCTTTCCCCTTCTGCAATGCTGTTACTACAAAATGGCCATCTAGTAAACATACAGAGTGGGAGGTAAAGATCACCCCCTGCCCCCTGTACTGAGTAAGAGGAGACTTCAAGTTGCAGGACTTACTTATCTCTGTAGAATTACACCTAATGGCATTTTCTTCTGTCAGATAGAAAAAAATAAGGAAATGTGGTAAATAAAGAGGTTCATATGCATATGGATGTGTGACAAATTAGTATTTCTAATTGCAGTTCCATCTCCACGTCCAGAAGGAACATTCCTAGATAATAGTGCCTCAAATAGAATACCTGCACTCCCAGTAGAAAGCAGTAGTGCAACAAGCCACTCAAAGAGACAAACTGCTTTTGATCCCTGGTAAGTCCGTACCTTTATAAGACATTATAGAAATAGATCAGATTATAGACAAGCTCTTCACTTAATACTTCCTAATTTCTTCTACTCATGGCATTGGTTCAGATTCAAGTTGAACCTCTTATATTTTTTAGAACTGAAGGTTTTTGAATGCAAAGTCCAAGTGTGTTTCCAGTATTAACTTTAGGCCTTTTCAGTAATTTAGATCCTCTATTTATAATCCTTCCAATTTCTACTTCTCATATCTTGCTTTGGTCCAAACAGTTTCTGTTTTTCTCATCCTAATGCTAAATAGGTCTGCAGACACCAGATAGGTCTACATTATCCTTGAGTCAACTGCTTATTCTAAAAAACCCAGTATTTTAACTATTAGGTTCATAAAATAGGAAAGGCCTAATATGTACATGTCACAGTTTTAATTTTCTTGGGTAACAAAAAACACATGACATGGGGAATTCTTTAAAAAAAATTGGTTGCCTTTTCTGTACTTTTTGCAAATGTGTGTTGTGTGAGTAGGTAAGTTGGAAAAATGCATGAAAGCTTGCATGAAAGTTCTGTTTGTTTATTCATGACACTGTGTCTGACTAATAAAAAGAAATCAAATACATATTTACAGTTGTTAACATTTTCTTGTGTGATAAACATATTTACTAACATAAAGTTAGTTAGAAAACAGATGGAGAGAAATGATTCCTATAACACTGCAGGTCATGGATCACACAATATAGTTGATTGGCAGTAAGTTCTGGCAAATGCAAGTACTGCACGCAGTGTATATTTAATGTATAGGGTTCACTGCCACAAGATGTCATATTGACTCACTGTTTAGATGGTTTAAAGAAGGCACCTTTACAGGGCCGGGGCAATTTTTGAACTTCCTAGAACTCCCCATGATCCATGCTTCTGCTGTTGTTGCATTTCTCAATTCTCTGGCCGAAAAAAAATGTGGTTTGCTGGCAACTTATCAAGAGGTATGAAAGGCCACTGGTTTTGATTGTACATGTGTGTAGTTGCCATGAATTTCAGCAGTATAGCAGCAGCAGTGGTGAGGGAATAGGGGACAGACTGGGGGTGTTGAGACCCCATCCCAAGCTTAAAGAAATGACAACGCAGTTCATAATCTTAGCATCAGACAGCAAGAACTAATAATTAGAACAGATAAAAAACTGAACCTAAAAGAAGTGAAGGTGCACTATGTATAAGCAACATACAATAACAATATCTATAGTAAGATTTAACTTAGCTCTTGCCTCTCTGAGCAGCATGGATCAGAAATGTGTTGAAGACAGTTGCCAGAAAGGAGGCAATTGTAACCATTTTCCCTATTTGCCTATTTCATCATCCATATCTCAAATCATCCTCTCTTTCTCCCGGTTTCTAACTGAATCTTTTTTTCTTCCTTCATTGCCATTCCTACTTTTGTACTTATGTTTATATCACCCCTATCTTTGACCCCCCCATTAATTAATAGTGTTCTTTCAACATTATTAATTACAACTTCACCCTTCCTATCACCTTGAGACTTACTTGATCTTATCTGCCTTTTGTTTCTTCTCCTCAGCTGCTTTCTTAGCTCAGTTGCTAAGTCTCATTAAGTTTTCCAATTACATTTTTCAGTCATATCTAAGGACTTATTCTCAATCGTTCTTCTTAACCTATCTGCTGCCTCTCATAGATCACTTGGGCAAATCTAAGTGCCAGAGTAGATGTGCCATAAATTGTGCAATTGCTAATTGCATGACTTTAAAAATAAAACTAAATAGCAGCACCAGGGAAGGGAATTGTTAATCCTTTGCCCCCATGGGATTCTCACTCTGAGTTGTCCTATTCCTCCAACTACTGTTTGTCCATTTAGTATATCTATACTAGTTTACTTTTTACGATCACAGAATGACCCAAACATGCTTAGAATGTTTACCCTGAGGATATAAATCTAAATTGGAGAAGGTCGTTGTCAAAGTATAGGTCCCTGTTTAGGTGAGGAGAGTGACATCTGAATCAAGCAAAATGCAGTTACCCTGTTTGCCTCCAAAATGCAGTTGCAAACCCAGTTCAAACAATAATGCATTCCAATTCTGTTTCGAAATGAGCTAGCACATCCCTTGTTCCCCTGATTCAATCATAGCAGAATATAATTACCACAAAACAGGAAGTTAGGGCTGCAGCTGGGTAAACATGCAAACTGAAAGCTTGTTCACAACGGCCAGTCCATGATTCGGCTATATCTAAGGGGGCCAGTACACTACAGACAGAGCCAAAATGCAGGAAACATCCTTTGTATAATTTTTCCAGGTAGGCTGAGTTTGCGTACTAAATATTGGGAAGTTCTCAGACCTTCAACTGATTCTTCTTTAAGCCCACTCATGGGATTTTTATACTTTAGCATATCTCATAGTTCTCTGAATATCACACCTGTAGACAAGTACAATCAATATCAGTCAACACAAGGATCTTTCCCCCTTTAAAAAAAATCTGGCAGCTGCAACAGCTCCTTCTCCAGTCCTCCTGTATACCTGGCTGGCCTCACTGGCAAAAGAAAGCACTGGATTGGCTGCAAGTGTCATGGTGCTCCATTTTAAAACAAAATCCTTTTTACTGTACTTGTTGAAATGGAACAATCTAAATTATTCAGATGCTGCCTCATTGCCCCCCACCAGCACACATGTAAAGGCAACAGGATCTGTGAAAGGGTAACATTTTTGTGCTTCTGAGCCCTCTTTGGCCATTGTTCCCAAACGCAGTGTCTGATTTGTTCATATTGCTGCTATTCAAAATGTAAGGCTTAAAGGCAGTGCTTTAAAAATGCACTTTGGTGCTTGCACTTCTGCTGGCCAACCACCACAGTGTCCTTTGTGGTTTATGTATATCACACATACAGGTTTTGTACCCTCACAGGACCTTGATTTGGGAGGCTTCTCTAGCTGAAGAAGTTTTGGCGAGAACCCATCCCCTCCTGTATATCATTTGTGAGTTCCTGTGCATTTCCTGCATAGCCAACATTTTGGTTTCCTCATAGGAAACTTTATCCTGCCACTTCTGTGAGATAACATACACACACACTTGCTGAAGTCACCAAAGCCTTTTCTTCCAATCCTTTTCCCGTTGTCTTGCTTGGTGTGCTGGTCTGGACTGTTCTTGTGCCTACCGTTCATTGTCAAAGTCTAGTAAATGCAAGAGGATGACCTGATGGGACTCTCTATGGATTCTGACACTTCTAACACCCTGGAATTCCAGACTTTGCTGCTCATTACAGAACTTCAAAATAGAGTGTGAATTCTCTCTGGATCAGAATTCAGGGTCACTTTTATTAAGCCCTTTTGGGCTGGAGTAGATTCTTCATATGCATTGATGTAAAAATGATGACTTTGTAAGATAATGCAGTGTGTAATGTGTTAGGCTAAACTGGTTTTCTGATTTGTGTGTTTTTCCCTCTATGTTAAGGAAAAGTCCTGAAAATGCTGAGCAACTTAAGGAAAAAGAAAAACAAGGTTTTTTCAGGGCAATAAAAAAGAAAAAAAAGAAATCTCAATCTGTAAGTAACTTGTATGTTTTCTAAAAAGTATTATATATTTTAATTACTTTGCTATATAACCTAAGTTGTATTTTTGCTTGTGCCACTATATAAATTTTAGTTTGTTTTGCATTTTAATTTCCTGTTTGATATTTACTTATAATTACATTAAAACATTTGGGCCTGGTCTTCATGTAATAGCAACCCAGCATTCTTTTAACCCCTATCCTATTCTGCGAGAGAGAGTGTGCTAGTGTGTGTATGCAACTCAGTTGTTCCTGCTCCTCCTGCCAGCAAGCGTTGGCTACACAGGCCAGGCGCACTCTGTCACTAGCTTGATCAGTGCTACATGAGAACTAAGAACTCTGGCTTGTTTCTGCAAAGTAGAGTTGTAATTCAGGGTTTGTTCTGGAGTTACAGATCTGGGTTGGTGGTAGAGTGGCAAGGTAGAGATCCTGGTTTGGGTATGATACTAACCAAGCCAAACATGGAGTATCCCTGGCTTGTTTATGTGCTCGCCAGCCTTAGACTCATGAAAAGAGCTTGTGGAGTCCGTAGAGACCAGACTCATGTAAAGGGCGTTTAAAGGGCTTGTGGAAGCTAGTGGACCCAGTTAATTGTAGCAGTGCAGTTACCTAGCCTGCTGTGACAGTGATCTTGAGCCAATATCATCATGACTTCAGTTAAGGTGCAGTGACAAAGACACAATTGTGGATCAGTGTTCCTATCCTCCAGAGCTGGATAGAATGCATAGCTGTCATATTGCACAGAAACTGGAAAAGAGTTAATGGTGCAGGCATAGACTCAAATATTTTGTGTCCCAGTGTATAGGACTCTTTGCTGCCGTGAACAACTGCTCAGCATGAACCATTATGCATAATATGTAGTAAACCATTTTAATGTAACTTGCACCAAAGAGGCAGTATAGCTGTATGTATAACATGACTGTAGTTACACTGATGCAAGGATCGGATCATGAGTGCTTCATCTGCACCTATTTCTAACATACATATGTTCTGTGCTTGCACGTTTTTGTCTCTTGCAAGCTGACTCTGCTATTACGTTCAGTGTACTTTGTGCTGGATTCTTTCTGAAATGGAGATGAATAACCAGCCAAAGCCATGTAATGATTTGGGTGCTGGGTTATGGAGAACTAGTCTGGGCCTCTACTCAGCTGTCAGACTTCCCGGAAAAAGTTGGGTCAGTCACTCTCAGCCTAACATACCTCCCACAGTTCAAGAGATAGCATAGATACATCTCAGTGTCTGAATGGGATGCATATCTGCAGAAAAGCAGCAATCCTAAACAAAACTTCCTTTCACCACAATTGCACTTGGGTTCTACCCTGTCTACATGAAAAGAAGCTTGCAGAAAAGTTGGCTCATTCATCTAGTGCTTATTCTTGTTTGCTTAATAGAATTGTAGAAAATGTAGCCTATCCAAATGCAGAGACATTGTTTAATGATGAAGAATTGCTTTACTCCAAAAACATTGTCTTTGAACTGTGCTTGCCAGCTCTTTTCCACAAAGACCCCACCAACTAGGGACTGAAGTTCTTTATTTATTGGATGCTATTACTTCTATCCTTTAGTTGGAAAAAGGAGTAATTATTTATATTATGTCTATATTGCCCAATAGCCAAAGCTTTACAAGTGTCAGACTGCCCTTACCTGGATCTCATAAGATAATCAATCTATATATACACAGTCATGCAAATGTTTCAACTTTGTTGTAGACATGTCACTGCTGTGTCCATTAGATTTCCTAATCTAATGGACATATATATACACACACACGCAGGTATGCAGGCAGTAGCTGTCCTGCACTACTGGTAATTTTAAGCAATTGAGCTACTTTTCTAAACCATTTTGTTTAAAATTGTTGACCTCTGAGCTTTTCTTCTGCAGATATTTCAGTTAACCCCTGACAACATCTACCATTTCATCCATATGCATATTTAGTGACTAATACAATACCTACATTCACAGCACAATCCTGTATGTGTTTACTCAGAAGTAAGTTTCACTGTGTTTATTGAGGCTTGCTTCCTAGTAAGTATATTTGGAATGTTATTGTAGGTATGTGTTTCCACTGAAGAATTATTTTTCTTACAATTGTATAACTTAATTCCCTTTAAGTTGGAATTACATATTAAATATTAGTTGGCATTTGTATTGCTCTCTCTAACTTCTCTTAACAACTTACTACGTCAGACGGAATGCTCTTAGAGATGATATAAAACCCCCCCATTGTGGAACTAAATTTATACATATACCTTATGTTCATCCCTCCTGGATGCAAAATAGCTTGTAATGATTCAGGAAATAACCATAGTTGTTCATATGCTAGAGTCAAAAGCCTTGTGAAAGTAAATAATTTTTTATTTTTTAAAATACACTAGGTGGGCAGACAGTCTTTAAAAATTTCTTCCATAGGCATTTACTCAGTCAGCAAAGCAATTAATATTATCTTGGTACAATTAAGAAAGGGCAGAGTCAACATGAGAAATAGCTAAGCTATTAAAGTGTTGATATATGTACAGATAAGAGACATGGGTAGCTGTCCTTAATTATAGAGTCATTTATGCAATTAGTTTTTGTATCTTATATTGCAGACAGAATCCACCAAGGCGGAGAATCCAAGCATCAAGAAAACTCTCTTTCCTCTTTTTAATTCAAAGAATCACTTAAAGCATAGCCCTCCTTTGAAAAAGCTTCCTGTAGTCACTCTACCTATGGTATTAATCTTTAAGAATGGTAGCCTTGATAAAAAGCAGTCCAGTAAATCTCTTTTACTGATCACAGCAGCATGTATTTTTTCCCCTGCAGTCACAGATTCTTCCTGCTAGTAAAGCATCTTGAGCCAGTTCCACAAATTCAAAGGATTTAGGGTTAAGGTGGTGGTGGGGGGGGGGGGTTGCATAATTTCAGGGAAGCATAGCTAATTTTGGGGGGGGGAAGATAAGGCCAGTTTGTAATAAATATTTAAAGGTAATATCCTTTAAAGTTAGTCACATGCAAATAAATTTGTATTGCAGTCAAGTTTACATTGTTTTGTAGTATCTTGTTTATGTGGTTTATTATTTCTATCCTTTTACTTAAATAAAAAGAGAAAGCTTCCTTTAAAAAAAATTGATCTGCTATAGAACTCTTTGCAGACTGACTTTTAAAAAGCCTTTATTTTCCTGTGTTTTATGGTGAACAGCTGCCTTATTGCTTTCAATTGGCAGAACAGAGGCAAAGCCCCCTAGATTTAAGGCTTAACAGGTTTTACTCCTAAGCCTCATTTGTTGAGAAGAGGAATCTCTTTCCCTTCACCCAAGCTGCACAAGTAAGTTCTCTAATATTTAAAGCAACCAGGAGGGATGTTCAGCTGACGTTTTTCCCAGCAACTAGCTTGTTGCATTACTTAATTCTTGTTTTAAGCTTAAAGCGTCTTTCTTTTTATATTAGTAGGGGATAAATAGCTTCTTTATAGATGTAAATATAAAACTAAGGGTCTGATAAACAAATCCACTACCTTCCTTAGTCAGATTTTTTGTGGAGGTGGCTCATGATCTTAAAAACAGTATGGAATGCTTTGGAAATGAGGATGAAGCACAGCAATGCACTTAACTGCTCTTTCTCTTTTACAGTGATTTAACTAACAGCATGTGAATGCCTTAAGGGTGGAGGTTAAAACAACTCTGCATGGCATCTACAAATATAACTATCACTATGGAGATACTAAAAGAAAATTGCAGCAATGGGCTTTACCTGCACTGCTTTGACCTGGGGAGAAGGGGGAAATTAGAATATCTGTTTTCCTAGCATTTTTCAGTATACAATACTTTTCTGTGTTGCAGATGCCTGGAAGTGACAGTCAAGATCTTTTGGCATTACAGAAAGCTATTCACTCATCTAACCACCCACCCAGCAGGCAGAAGGATTGGCATTCTGACAAGATGACAGAAATCCAAAGTCATGTAAGTACTGTCAATGTTTTATTCTAATTTGAGGTCACTTGACAGGTGGCTCACACTGCAGTGATAGAGCTGCCAGGTTATATGCCAAAGTGTCCATATACCGTTGAATCAAAGGGGCGATGAGCTGGACATGGCTTCTTCTACCATTTTGGCACCTCCTGCTCCCATCTTTCTTTAATCCATCCCTCCCCCTTGTTCTAGCAAGTGAGACACTGGTATGACTTTGTTCCTAATAATCACAAAGTATTGCCTTTGTGAAACTGTGCCATAAATTATACTAGATCAAAGTATATCATCTGTATGGAAGTTGAACATTTAGTTATCGATTGGTCATTGATTATAAAAGTTGTTCAAATAGCTATTTAAACCCTGCCCAAATGAGTGACAAATATGAAATTGACTAAGAAATCTAACACACGTGTGACACACGTGTTGGTAACTTCCCGATTAGACTTCTGTAACGTGTTCTATGTGGGGCTATCCTTGAAGACGGTTCGGATACTTCAATTGGTGCAGAATAGAGCTGCCAGGTTGCTGACGGGGACTGGGTGTTGTTCTCATATAACCCCAGTTCTCCGTCAGCTTCACTGGCTCCCAGTTGAAGTCCGGACCCAATTCAAGGTGTTGGTTATGACCTATAAAGCCCTCAACGGCTTGGTACCTGGCTATCTAAAGGAATGCTTGCGTCCATATATGCCCTCCCGCTCCTTGAGATCAGCAACAGATGCCCTTCTCTGGGAACCCTCCGTGAATGATATTAGGAGGGTGAGTACCGGAGGAGGGCCTTCTCTGCAGTGGTGCCCCACCTATGGAATGCGCTCCCCAGAGAGGTCCGCCTGGCGCCGTCATTATTTGTTTTTCGGCGCCAGGCTAAGACCTTTTTATTTAAAACTTATTTTAATTGTTAATTTATTATGTATTTATAGGATTTTAAATTTTTAAGCTGAGATGTTACCGCGCTTTTTAATTTTTAATTGTACTAATTGTTATTTATATGTTTTAATTATGTTGTGAGCTGCCCCAAGGCTTTGTTGCGATGGGGGCGGCATAGAAATGTTTTAAATACATACATACATACATACATACATACATACATACATACATACATACTAAAAACAAGAAGAGTGAAGAAAAACCCTTGTCATTTATATGAAAATATTGATTGAAAAGATTTAAATAGCAATTTTAAAGTATTGCAGTTCATAGTATTATTGAATGATTGCCAAATAAAGGATGGATAAAGAATACATTTATGAGGCCCATGAACTTCCCTTTTCTCATTCTTTGTCTTTCAGAGCCAGCCTTTAAAATCCCTCCGCAAACTGTTACACCTGTCTTCTTCCTCAAATCATTCAATTCCTTCTGAACCCCGATTCCAGCCCTTACCAAGTCAGCCTGCTAAAACTTCTTTTTCTGATGTTCGAGTTCACCCAATAAACCAAGTTTCCACCACTAGCAGCAGCAACATGAGGCAAGAATCCCAGGCAAAAGGCCGAACACTCCAGATCCCGGGCCAGATGGAACCAAGTTGGCATGTTTCCCCAGTGAACAGGAGTGCTAGTGATGGGACTTCATATTCTGATCAAATGCCTTCTAAGAGTGGGCAAAATGGGCATACTTATAGCCGAACAAACCGCTCCCGAATGCCGAACCTAAATGATTTAAAAGAGACAGCTTTGTAACAACACTCTGGGAAATGCTTTTGAAGGGATCCACCTAGGGTTATGGTGGTGCTGGTGGTTGTGGTAGTGATGGAATTCTCAGCTTTATAGCAAGTGTGCAATATGGAATATGCAGAGCTACTGTTCCGTACTGTGTTGATAGGGATCTTACAATGAAATGAACTTTATTAATTGCCATTCATCTAATCTCATGACAAAAGAATGAGCACTTCAGGGAGAATGAACTGTTTACCTTTTTCTCTCATTTTACATTCCAGCTTAGTGCACTTCTGTCTGAAAGCTGTATAGGTACTTTGGGGAATTAAAAGAAATGTCTTTAGACCTATGCCCTTATGAAAATTTTGCTGCCTAGATTTAAAAAATAAATTTAAGTGGGGTTTATGTGATAAACTTGTATCCCTAATAAGGGTTTAAAGTTCAGTTGTATGTCTTTGTTTTTTAAACTTCCATATTTGATAGGATTTGTAATATTTATTTATGATATAATATTGTATTGTTATAATCATATCTCATGTTGCAACGTAAAGTTATTTTGAGCTGTTTGAAACATTGTGATGCAGTGCAACAGCTACAATAGTTTCTATAAAAACTAACATACATATTGCATCAGGAGTATTTTATTATATTCATGAATATATATATATGAATATATATATATATATAAATGGTAAATAATTGTCTTTTTTAAAATATACTCATTTAAAAGAAAAGTATTGTTATGACACTATCTGCCATATTTTTATACATTTGTGATATAAAGTGCAGTATTATACTTCTAATAAAAGGGAATTGAATGTGGATTAAGTATGACTGTAACAATATGAATTGTGCTCCACTACTAGATACAGTTACACTGGATTTTCTCCAGGAGTGTCCCTCCACTGACAGATGGCTCTTTGATCCAATGGGGCCTTATGTCAGCGGAATGGACCCTTCAGCCTCTCCAGCTCTCCACCAGATTTGTTCCAGAGTATCAGGCAATCCTTTGGAACAGCATGGAAAGTGACAAGGGGGGTTGCAGGAGGGAGGGGGGAATTGACAGAAATCACCCCCTCCCCATTCCGTTGGTGAACCTTTCTGCTGGATCAAAGTCTTTTGTCAGCTGCGGAATTCCTCTGGATTCAATCCATGGGTAACAAACCACATATTACACTAATTATAATACTTTGTTATAGGCCTTTCCTGGAAGTAATAGGTTAAATGTATTGATCTATGAAACCATAGTCATATTTAGTGACATCTTTGCCCTGGGTGTGTGCTTAGCTTTTCCCATTACTGTCAGTGAGAGATAAGCATCTGCATTCTGGGGCAGAAGACCAGTGTTCCTTTACTATCTTCCATTCAGGAAAACTGACCCATAACAAAAGTTAAGCATATGCTCTTCCATTCAGTATATGGGGTGAAGACCAAAGAGCCACAGCATGAGTTGCAAGTGGCAAGCCAAAGGCGGTGTGACACGGCACTGTAAATCATGGTATAAGGTTTTAAGCCTATGTATATCTTTGCACTTTGTCTGAAATTGTACTAACCAGAAAGTAAAATACTGTATTTAAATGTAAGAAAGGCTGTGGCACTTCCATTTTGTTTCTAGAATTTAATAAAAACTGCAACATTGATAATTTGAATATGGAAAGAAAACAGTTTTCTGCTGAAGCTTAATTTCCCCCCTATATTGCTTATAGGAATACTTACGTGAACGTTGCAGCTTCACTTATTTCAGCGTGCTGGATGTTTTATAATTTCCTGTATATTATTAAAATAACCTTTTAAATTGGATTTATAATACAGTTTATGTGGAGCCTAATATTCCTGATAATAGTGACAATTACTATTTAGGAAAAAAGAAAATTAGTAACATGTTGTTCCCTATGGAGCTGATACAAATGAATGGAAGGAAGGATCAGGACAGTAGCATCAGAACAATACTTTTTATAGGACTAACACAACACTTGACATCATTTAGTCAACTTGTTTTTCCCTAACAGTTACCATTCTTCAAAAAATTAAGCAGGGGAGGCTCATGTGTTACTGGTTTTACTTACCTATTTACTAGCACAGATTAATGGACAAGATGTATTCTTGATTCACTGAACAGTGAAGTTGTGATACTTTTTTTTAAATGTTAGCAGACGTCATAACAGGAATGCAATATCCCTTCCATTATGAAAATAAAAAACTTCAGTTGCAAGAATTGTGCATGGATCTGTTTTCCTATTTAGAAAATAGGTGTTATAACAGTATATAAAGTGCTGTGGGAAAGATATGGGAGAACATGAGACTGCATAGTGGAAACCTTTAGTTACTGCCTGGATGTCTATGTTTCTTTCATGGTTAGGGTTTATTTTGTGCATTTCTAGATTACAGCCTTCTTCCCCAACATTTCTGGCTGCTTAACTAAATTTTCCAACAAAATGCAGTTATGTTTTGAGTGGTTTCTAAGCAGTACTGTGTATATCTCACAATGTGTAGCTTTTTAGTTGGGTCTGTATTTCTTCTAATTTCTACCTTTCAGGTAACTGACACTTTATTTATAAAGTTGCTTTTAGTTATCTTGATCTGTGGAAGTCACTGACTGAAAATATTAGGCATCAAATTAAGTATATCAGGGAATCATTAAATGTATCTTTAGGTTTTTAAAATTACTGCCATTTCTACCAATATATCAAATATATGACTTGGCGGGGTATTCAAAAATAAATCCTTTTTAGTATGCTTTAGTATGTATTTAGTCTGTTAACAGAGAAAGTCTTATTTCAAATACCTTGCAGTCAATTTGGTTTATGTATCCAACTTGTAATATGTTAGTCTTGTAAATATGCTAAGACATCCAAAAAATCTTATTAGGATAATGGAGATTTGCTAGCATCATAAGAAGAGTAAAGCCTATTACACTATTATTCAAGTGTGAGCTTTTCTCTTTACCGAGATTAGCAGAGTAATTTGCTGTACTCTGTAGCATTTCCAAGGATAGAGCAGCTAAGCTTAGTGATGTATTTTTTGCTTTCTAATAGTATTGCTGGTATAAAAAGGGTGCATCATGTATAGAAAAAGGTATACAATTTGCAACAGGATTTAAAGGTACTATTGGAAATGGAAAGCCTTTATGTTTGAAATTATCTATGAAGTAAAAGTTTGATACTTTTAAAATATTATTGCATGAATAGACAATTTTGCAAAAGTGCTCATAATTGAGAGATATTTACTGAAACCTGCTTAAACTGCTTTTTGGAAATACATCATTGCTATGGAGAAGTCTTGTTTAAAATTTTATATATTTTCTACTAACTAAAGTTATTTTTCAGAGGACCTCTTCATTTCCTTGTGCTCATTAACACTATATTTGGAGGAGCAGACAAGCTGTAGAGTTTAGGAAAGCAGTGGTGATTGCCACTTCCTGTTCCTTGGACTTGGGATAGATAATGGCTCTGTTATAGACACTTCAACCCACGTTCTGGATACATGGTTTCAAATGTGTATTTTTAACTTCATCTATTTATATTTATTTATATTGCAATTTATATCCTGCCTTTTTCCTTGCAAAGGGCTAAAGGCAGCTTACATCATCTCTCCTCCTCCATCTTATCCCCACAACAACAACCCTGTGAGGTAGGTTGGGCTGAGAGTCTGTGACTGGCCCAAAGTCACCCAGTAAGGTTTCCCCTTTCTTTGCTTCTAAATTCTCAGATAATATTGAATGAGGTATCTTCTAATATCCACAAATTTTTTGGAATCCAAAGCCCAAGAATAGATATATAGATATAATTGGAGAGGTGCTTTGGAATTTTAGTTTTTTTTATTAAAACAACCCTTTTTCTTTCTAAATGTTCTGTCTTCCCCTTTTCTCTCATTTCCCTCTCTTTCCCAAAGTATGAATAGTCTACATTAGTAACTTGATGGTTATGATTACCTTAAGTCAATCAAAATTTTACTGTATTCAAACTTTATACTGCGTTCAAACTTTATACTGTATGGCAATTGAGCTAAAACTAAAGACACTACTGTTTATAAAAATATTCTAAGATAAGCATCAAAAGAGGAAAAACTAATCAATTGACATATATATTTAATTACTGTTTTCATCTAAGATGGTGGATAAACATGGAACTGGCAGAATAGACGTGTTCCAGTTCTTATTTAACTATCAGCTATTACATGTTAGAGACGCTATGAGACAGAATGATGAAGTTCAGAGTCTAAAACATTCTCAGCTGAGAATATGAATGTGTAGTTAGAGGAGTTTTTGCATTGGCACAATGCTCTAATAATTTTTTCTCTGTGTGAATTAAGTAAGGTCAATTGAGACTGTGGCCAAATGGCATGCATTTCTAGAAGTTAACTTAGGTTTACTATAGCAAAAATTCAATTACAGAGTTAATGTAGACTTACATATAGTGAGGTAAGTAGACAGTCTTCAGGTAACATTTTTGATCTCCAGCTTTAATAGTTTTTAAAAATCTCAAATCATAAAACTTTTAAAAAGATGTCTTTTCTCATCCAAGTTCCTTCTGTGTTCTCTGTCTTAATGCTGACTGGGTTTTTGAATCTAGCAAATTAGGACAAAAGCCATTTTTTAATGGTCTATCATTGAGTCATTGAATCTAACTCGATACTCAAGGACTTTTAATATGGCATTTTTTCCCCTAAGAAAGTTACTACAGTAATGGCTCTTTATTTAAAATACATTCTCTTTATTCAGTTATTCTGACAATGATGTAAAATAGGCTTTCCCAGGCATGATGTGCCTATTAATTTGAAATGGTACAGGGAAAAAATGCCAATTCAGTTTACCAGTGTAGGTCTTTTATATAACTTCTATTAGAACCAGATATATGGGAACATGATTTGTCTGATCCTACTTCTAGTTGCTTAATAGCTCAATCCTGTTAGATTTTTTTTAAAGGAAACAAAGCCACTTTGAAGTCACTTGCATCAAAGTAAACATAGTCACAAGAAAGACTCTCAGGCCATCTAGTCTGACCCCTGGCTTCAGCCGGCTCTGCTCATGACATGCCTACCATGTGCATGTCCAAAGTAGACTTGTGAAAGACTGGCATAATCTTTTTAAGAACTATACTGTTAAATAAATATGCTAGATTGCTGCTTCTGAAAAATGTAAATCAAGTTCATATAGCCAGAAAAGGGTGACAGGGTGGCCCCAGTGTTTAAGCTAGCAATTGTGCTACAGTAGAAGGGTTGTTAGATATCATTAGTAAATATGGTTCTGCACAGTTGCTACTTATTAAGAAGTTGCTAAGGTGGGGAACTTTGAGTTACTTTTCTCAATCAGCCACCAGTGCTAGACATTGAAAGTTGATTAATGCTTTGTTCTCTTGTTGAACTCAAAGCCCAGTGACAGTAAATCAGCGACTAGGTTGGCATGACACAACAACCTACCATGAATAACTAGTCAAAGTCAGTTAGCTTGTTGTCCAAACTCAGACCATTTCTGACAGGGTGACTTATTTGGGGGCAACAGGCTACCCTGAAATAGTTTTGCTCATTCTAAGCATGGTTAGACCCATGGTAGATTGTGTCACCTGAACCTACACAACAGATTCCATTGTGGTTGAAGCATTCAATTAGCAAGCCACTCAACAAAAGCAGCAATTCCCAACCCTTGACACCACTAGCAACAGCCTCTCCACCAATGCCCAGGTGACATTTTGGCACAACCATCACTGGTTCAAAGTCAGAACAGTATTAAGGGCACAGTACTGCCACTTGCACCCTTTGGTTAACCTAATGTCATTACTTTTCCTCCTTTCCAATTGACAGACAGCTGGTGTGCTCCAGTTGGCATATATGCTATCCCACCCTGTGGAATTCCATGTATGTTACCTGTTGCACTTGGCCACTCCCTTTGATAATTGAACCATAAATAGCAAGGCTACATAGATGGCAAGGCTACACACATAGAAGTGTATTGTAAGCTGCACATTTGTGAAAGACTTCACCACCACCACTGAACACATTTACAGGGGCCAAAACAAGAACAATTTCAGTTGCCCTTTTGGAAGCTCCTAAAGATGCATATGAAGTGGAGCAGCTATTGAAATGGTGGGACATAATGAGTCCTAAAGTGAGGGATTCTGGGACACTGAATGGAAGACCAAGAGGGCTGGAGAGCAAAAAGCCATGGCCCAATCATTTGTTGGGCACGCTGTGGATTGTTCGATGAACAGGCACATGACTTGGTTATGGAGTGACTTGGTGTGCTGTGTAAATGAACCCCATGAATAGAGAGAGGCTGCAGAGTGTGGCTAGTACTTCCAATTAATTCCAAACCAGCTTGGCATGATTGTGTTAGTACACTGCCTTAAGGCCTTCCTTATTTGTTTTGCATGTATCTCTATGAAGTTTCAGCTATTAGGTTGCCTTGCTTCTTTTGCATACAAAATAATCAGAGAGAGATTCACTCTCTCACACATTCAATGATTCTTAGACTTGGTTAGCATGTCAGAATTTATTTAGTTCATTTGTCAGTTTCATGAAGGATAGACCTCACATCTCAATATTACTCAGCTGAATCATTATACTAAATGGGGTGTTGGAAGGGGATTAACACCAAAATGTAGTTCACAGGATAGAATTGGCAAGGGGTGGAGTATTAGAAGAACCAATGAGATTTAAGATAGTTTCAAAAATAAATAAAATACAGAACCGAATTCCTACAGATAAAATATGAAATGGGCACTACTTCTAAAACCACAGACTTTAGGTTACATTAATGATTAGAAAGGACTTTTCAGTCCTTAGCATTGTACAAGGTTTCTCTGGAGGTTGTAAATCTCACTTCTCTTTTTCTGTCTTAATATTTTGTTTTATTTTTGGAATTATGGTGGAGGACATGACTCATTTAGTAGTAGTACATTCTGATCTATAAATTTATATTCTCTGGGGAAGGGGGAAAACTGTCAAGCAGAGAACTGCAGGGGAAAATAGCTGTTAATATGCTTAAACTATTTTGATATCAATTGTCAAAATATAGGATAATTATTGATTAAAATGGGGGAGATGCATTTCTGAAGACTTTTATAGCTTTGTGAGAAACATAGTAAACCAAAAGGAACCAATTATGAAGGCAGCTTTCTAGGGTTTTTTAGTGCTATGGGTAAAATTACCTACCTTCACTATCCCCATTCTGGAACATCTCAGATGCACAAATTTAAAATAGACACCAGTTCTGTTGTT